AAAAAAAAACACCCTGAAAACCAAACCACGCCTTCATACATCTGGAGGTATTGCAGTAATTTATAACTGATGACAAAATATTTCAGAAATTCTATGTGTCTCTGAGATATAAAAAGAGTCTGCCCTTTAAAAGTGGCTTTTGCCTTCACAAGCCACCTGGCCGGGTGCCATTTTGCCACCTGCCTTGGTGACATTTCCTTCATGAAGGCTCCTGCTCTGTGTTTGAGCTCAGCAAAGCCTCCAGGAAAAGCTCCCCCAGCCACAGTGTAAGCTGCTCCCCGGGAAAGACAGTTGCAATTTTATTTTTCAGGAACCTGGGGTTAGATTAATCCCTGGCAGAATTCCACTGCTGTCAGCGGGGACGCACCAGGGGTGACTGGCTGCTCCCATATATCGGGCAGTTCATTCACATTCCAGGGTTTGTTTATTTAAGCCTGCTGTCCTGGAGTGCAACACAAATGAAAGCACTTGTTTTGCAAGTGCCTGTGTTTCACATCTGTGGCTTTTCCCCTGTTGCAGCAAAGAAATGATAGTACTTTACTGAGACTTCTGGTTTCCAGGATGCTGGAAAGTTTATGTTTTGTTGTTGTCTCGGATTTTTTTGTGTATTAGTCCTCTCATTTAGGGAAAAATTGTCTTCAGCGTGTGTTACCTTCCAGCTGCACATTCTTTTCCATCTGGGATTATTGGAAATAGCACCAGGGTCTTTAGACAGGGGTCACAGGTGTGCTGCTTTTTTTCTCTTATTCCTTCAGCTTCAGCATTTGATGGGTTGAACATTTTCTGAGGCAAACTGTGATATAAAATTTACCTTGTGTAAGCATCCAAGACTTTTACAGGGCTGTGTGAAGTAAAAGTGGCTCTGTGAGATAAATAAATCTGGCTGAGACTCTTTTTGGAGAGACCTGGTTAGAGAGAGCCCTCTGCAAACCTCAGATTTTTTTACCCATCACTGTATTAAGATGCTGTGAAGGAAGAGGAATTGAAGCATTAGGGAAAGTTTGCTTCTTTGAAAACTCTACATGCCTGTGGGATGGTTACAGGTCTGCAAGACAGTTCATGTTTTAATATCCCTTAGTTGTCTACTGGGCTGGACATTAATCCCAAAGTGCACCCAGCTTTTTTGGGGTTTGAAACAAGCCTGTCTCATTTTGCAGTGCCTTGGGACAGGTGATAAACAAGGTTATTGTCTGTGATGGGATTCACCTGATTAGAAGTGGGTGTTTATGATGTTGGAGTCAGCATTAGAGATCTCAACAGAACTGGTGGAGTCAAGTGTGGAAATTGCCTTTTTTTAGGGTAGAAGTCTGTATTTGGTCTCATGAACTGCCCTCACTGCATGGATTTGTGTTCTCCCTCTCGACAGAGAATGGCCAAGTGTATGTGCAGAAGAAGCCCACCATGTACCCACCCTGGAACAGCACTTTTGATGCCCACATCAACAATGGCCGGGTCATGCACATTGTGGTCAAGGACAAAAGTGCTGAAATGGTCTCAGAGACCACAGTGGAGCTCAAGGTGCTGGCAGAGAGGTGCAAAAAGAGCAATGGGAAGACAGAGATATGGGTGAGCATCACTCTCTCCTCCTGCAGGATGTGTTTGGGAGCTGCTGCAGGGTAAAGGGATGTGTCCTTGTGTCTGTGCCAGGCTGTGGCTCTCACCCGTCTCACGATGGGTGCTGGCTGGAATAATGTTTTGAGACTACTTGGGTGTGACTTGAGGGAGAGACTTGTCAGAAGAGAAGAGCTTGGCACTTTTATTTTAATTGAAACCTGCCCTGTGCTAGTGAGGATCCTGCTTCAGGTGAGCTGTGCCCACGTATTAATCTTTGCTGAGGAAACCCACTGGGAACAAATGTTATTATGACTGGCTGAATGTGAATTATTTTATGTTCTCTGGGGAAACAGCTTTAAAAATTTTATCTAATATCAAGTAGCTGATTCACAGCTGCCCGAGTTCAGAGTTATGTCAGAGCAACTCCTTAAAAATCACTGAAGTTATGGTGACGTAAATTTGTACAATCTTCACAAGAATGCTAAATGTAAGGTTGTGTTCCCTGCCAGTCCAGGGAAGAAAAATCTTGTCAGAAATCTTAAAAATGCAGTATCCAGCTTATACATTAGTCCAGTGGATTCAGATTTCCAAAGGCACTTATGGATGATGGGTCAGGTAGGTGGGAATTGCCAAGTTCAAGGGGGAAGGCCCCAAAAAATGTCTGAATCACACAGAATGAAGAGGTTGGAAGAGACCTTCAGGATCATCGAGTCCAACCCAGCCCCAACACCTCAACTAGACCATGGCACCACAATAATAAACTTGTAGCATCCCTCAGGCTGACTGTAAAGAAGTTAGACTTGCAGAACTGAGTGCCTAAAAGATTTTAGCATCACCTGTCTGAAGCTGGCTGGGGTTTTTGAACTGCTCCCACCTTCCCCTTGCAAAATCTATTGGGAACAAGTTTTCTGTATAGATAGTGGTGGTCCTAATTTGGTGTCTAAAAAGCTGCCTGCATCTTCTGTGGTTTAATCCCATTCATCTCTCTTATCATGCTGCTGAGTGTTTGATGTGAGGTGATCAACCCTCTTCTCTCTGCAGTTGCTCCTGCCCTATCTTGTTGCCTCACGTGGGTATGAGCAACCTGAAAATCAGCATTCATTGCTGTTCATCAGTTCCCTCTGGGAAAAGGAGATCGCTTGAAAGTCATCTGAAAAGATTTTTCCTTCTTTGAATGGCTGTTTAATGGACTTTTTTTTCTTGTTTTTCACTTATCTCAACCAGCTAGAACTGAAGCCTCAAGGGCGAATGCTGATGAATGCGAGATACTTCTTGGAAATCAGTGGCAAGTGATTCTGTTTGTTAATTTATAGCTGTGATTTCTGGGCTGTGGGGCACACATGGTGTCATCACTAAAAGCAGTGCCAACGTTATTACTGACTGATCCATAACAACAAACATAACTGCTTGAAACAAAACCTCCAGAAAAGTAATTTTTATTGTGCGGTGACTATTCTTCTGTGATTTGCAAGGCAGATTTTTTGGCTGGTTTACCACTAAATGGCAGATATTCCCATTAGGCTGAACAAGACAGAACAGATACATAAGAAGCCAGCTCCTTCTGAAATCATTCTGCTTTATGTACTACAGGAAATACATTGAGGGGCTGGAGCGTGTCCAGAGAAGGGAATGGAGCTGAGGAAAGGTCTGGAGCACCAGGAGGGGCTGAGGGAGCTGGGAAGGGGCTCAGCCTGGAGAGAAGGAGGCTCAGAGGGGACCTTGTGGCTCTGCACAAGTCCCTGCCAGGAAGGGACAGCCGGGGGGGGTCAGGCTGTGCTCCAGGGAACAGGGTTGGATATTAGGAAAATTTCTTGTAGAAAAGTCTGCATTCTACTTTGTTGAAGGAAATGGATTTAATTCAAATGCTTGGTCTTGTCCTCCCATCTTTGTTGCCAAAATTCTCATATCCTCAGGTGTAGGGTGAAGCTGTGAGGTGCAGATATCTGGAAGATGCTTCCATTTATAGAAACAGAGAAGCGCTGCAAGCCGCCATGGCCATGCTGATGTTTTCTTAACCATCCCTGCCTTTAATATAGATTGGACTGCTGTTTGTGTGTTAAAAGGTGTTAGGGAGGCCGAAGCATAGAAAATGCAAGTTGTGTTTCTATAACAAATATCACGATCAGAGCACAAAGGGAGCAAGTTCCCACAGGTCACCTGTGACTCACTGAGCAGTGCAGGAGTGAAACAAAAAATGAGATTGATTTTCTGTGTGAATATCAGATTTCTAGGCACAAGTGTGTGTAGAAGTGCATGTGAAGGTGGAATTGGTTTGTTTGCTGTCCCAAAAAGTTTAAATAACTGTGAATTTCAGCAAGGGCACGGCAAATAGCAAAGCAAGTGTTGGCATGGAAAAATAACAAGAACAATATCTTCTTATATAAATATCTGCTTACTGACACGTATATGCACACAGAAAGGATTCTGTTAAATACCTATAAATATATACATATGTATACATATACATGTGTGTTTGTGTCTATATATCAGTAATTATTATTTTTTTATGTGGTTTCATCTTTTTTAGGGTGTACTTCTTCAGTGCTGTACAATGTCAGGGTTTTATGATTAAATTACCTCTCCTTGGGAAATTTTTTTTCTAGATTTCAAGAGCTGTGTTATGAATAGTCAAGAGAGCTCTGTGTTCCAAGTCTCAAGTCATTTTAGTGTAGGAATGGTAGATAAAAACCATCCAAATGAGACTTTTGTCAATTTCATAAAATTATATTTCTTTGAGTATTCATTACCATGAGTGAATCATCAGCTTCAGTCATGTAGTATTTGGGCAACTGAATTTTTTGAAGGCACCTAATCAGGACAGGGTTCACTTAATTACCTTTCCTCTCCTCCCAGATGCAAAGGACCTGGCTGACTGTGAGACTGAAGGCTTCTTCTCCTTGCACCAGCGCAGGGGAGCCATCAAACAGGCCAAAATCCACAACGTCAAATGCCACGAGTTCACAGCCACCTTCTTTCCACAGCCCACCTTCTGCTCCGTGTGCCACGAGTTTGTATGGTAAATGGAAAAGGATCTGTGCTTCTTCTCCTTTTATCCCCAGGGACCAGTTCTGGTGTCCCTGTGGCACTTGGGAACGTGGCTTAGTGTTGGATGTGGCAGATCTGGGTTAATGGTCGGACTGGATGATTTTAAAGGTATTTTCCAACCTAAAAGATGTCACTGTCAAGGCAGGATGGGCATGAAGAGACTCTGATCAGAAGGCTGTGAGAGTAAAATTCCTGTTTATTCAAAATACCCTGCTCTTTTATATAGAGCTTTGTGAGGACCAACTCCATTGGTCCTGAAGTGAAAACAACCCACAGCATTGGTGTAAACTGCTTGACACACAGTGATAGAACGTGACTATAAACAATGTGAATAACAAGAGAGATAAAGAATTATTTACATTCTTTTCCAACTCTTTCCCGGGCTTCTGCCTGGATAGAAACTCCTGTTTCTCTCTTTGACTGAATCTAAGACCCACAAAAAGATTCTTTGACTGAATCTAAGACCCACAAAAAGATTCCATGATTCCCTGTTGAATACCTGTGCTCCTCCTTTAAGACCCTTGGCATCTTACATGTATTGTGTCACTTTAAGGATGTGGTTTGCAGTTGTAATTCCAACTGTGAAAAATTCCCCTTTTTAATTTATTTGTTTACAAATATTTTTGGGTTTGGTGAAATGCACAGGCATTTCTCATTGGTCCACTTTGATGTTTGGACATCATGAAATTCAGGATGTGAATTTGTGCTGAAAAGGCTGATTAGATTAAATGAAGATAATTAAATGAAATAATCTCTACAAAGGGTGATAAAAAGCAAAGCAATTTTATTCTTCTTTGATAATTATTGCTCTCCTTTCTTCTGCTGAGGCTTTTAGACATCTCAGGGTTAACCATTGTTCTGTTCATTTCAGGGGTCTGAATAAACAAGGCTATCAATGCAGACGTAAGAAACTTTATTTTTGTTTTCTTATTGTCATTATTTACTTAATCTTTTCTTAAAGGATTTCTTTATTAACACCATGACATACTTGCTGTTGCAGAATGTAACGCTGCCATTCATAAGAAGTGCATTGATAAAGTAATAGCCAAGTGTACAGGATCAGCAATCAATAGCAGAGAAACAATGGTAGGTTGTATTACTATTATTATTATTGCTATTGTTATTATTATTTTATTTTATTTTGTATGTTATATTTTATTTTATTTTATTTTATTTTATTTTATTTTATTTTATTTTATTTTATTTTATTTTATTTTATTTTAGTGTATCCTTTTAAAAAATCTTCAGTGTCATTCAGATCTCTCCTACATCATTGCAAAGCAACTTCTGATGAAGCAAAAGGACTTTCTGGGGCTAAGGACTCTGTGATCTGATCTCTGCCCTTTGCTTTTTATGTTCCCAGTGATTTCATTACTCCAACTTAAGATTTACTCAAATGCAGCTGCAGAATAAGCAGTTGGTGAATCAGAACTGACATTTTTCTAATGCATGAAGTATAACTCAGAAAGAAGTCATGGACACGAAGTGAAGATTTACTGGAGAAAACTCTTCACTATTCAGTGTTAGACTGGATATCAGGCTGAATTTTCAGATTTGTGCTTGAATAAATCTGTGCTTGTGTTATCTGAAACAGTCAGTGGGAGATCTGATATCTCCACTGTTACTTGCTTTATTTTTCTCATGTCAGTTTATTCTAAAATTTTCTTTTTGGTAGGCAAAACCAGATCTTAAACTCTGGATAGGACTACTCTCTTTACCTTGTGTCCTACAACTTCTGTTTATTCTCAGTCCCACGCTGTTCTCCTGCTATGATTTTTATAGATGAGATTGCTCTCACTTCTCTTCTGACATCTCCAGGGTAGATGTAACCAACTTTGTCATCACCTTTCATACTAAAAGAATTACAACAGGCTCTTCCAAGGAGTGATTCATGACAACAAATGTACACATCTATTTCAGGATGAGGTGAATAATTTTTAAAAGGATCAATGTTTTCCCACTGAGTATTAGGGGGGAGCCTGGGGATTTTAATGAGGCACAAGCAGTCCTTTGGTCAAGGCCAGGGAAGAAATGACCCAATTCCCTCTGAATTGCAGTCACTATGTATCAAAATTTGGATTTGTGTGCCTGATAAATAATTTCTGCTTCGCAGTCATACCCGAGGATAAAAGGGCAGTAGAGAAACCAACTTCTGTGGTTCACATTTGGTTTCCACACGGAGCTGAGGTGGAAATGAGGAGTGGATTTTCAGCCTGGCTTTTGTCTTGCAGTTCCACAAGGAAAGGTTCAAGATCGACATGCCCCACCGCTTCAAAGTGTACAACTACAAGAGCCCCACCTTCTGTGAGCACTGTGGCACCCTCCTCTGGGGCCTGGCACGGCAGGGGCTGAAGTGTGACGGTGAGTCCCTGGTGAAGGTGGCACCAGCTGAGCATGGGAGGGGTTGTCGTCTTTGGAGGGTGGCAGTCTGAAAATCCAAATCTCATTTATTGCCCTTCTCTGAAAAACCACTATGAGGTGGCACCCAGGAGGGTGAAGGAATGGTTGCAGGACTGTCCTTCAAGGAGGATCATTCTTCAAGAATGAAGACAGCTTCCATGCACTGAGAGAAATTTGATCTAGCAGTGTGAGAGCCCTGGGCTTGGTCTGGGGTCTCGTGTGGTGGTAAAGTCTCTCCTCCAACCCGAACTTCCAAAGAAAAACTCCGCAGCCTCTTGTTGTTCAGTCTCAAGGCAGTTTATTGTGAGTTATCTAAAAGATTTTCTTCTTGGGCTGCGGCTGTTTGATCAGCAGCCAAGGCAGAGGCACACACACACCCTGACACCTTCACTGTCTGGTGTCTTCTTCTCTCCCACCACCCAGGGCTGCTGCTATCTTTTATATATTACGTATTATATGTTTACAGTTTTTCCCCAATACCTACTACCTATATTACAAAGTGCTTTTCTACTTTAAACCAATCTGTGAGTGCCATCATCACCAAGAACATGGAGGCAAGGAAGAAGAAGGAGGAAAAACAGGATCAGCCCATTTTCCTCCATCTTAGAACTTCTGACCCCCATGTACAAAGTAAAACCCCCCCGTACAGGTGCTAAAACCCCACTGTACAATACTAAAAAATTTTCCCCTCTACTTTGTAACTACATTTACTATACTATCTAACCCTTTGTGACTGTTCCACCTCCAAAGTTGCTAAGTCATTCCATGGCTCAAACTCAAAATCACAGGTGTTTCCAGCTGCCTGCCGGGGTCTAAAATGCTTCTGACCTAGGAATGGAACCTCTAAAAATGTCTGAGAGACATTTTGAGTTCCAACACAGCAGGATGATGAGTTGCTACCCAGAGAGACAGAAAGCATCACAGTGGCACTGTTCATCTCCCCAAATCACCCCCAGTATGAACTTGCAAGCTCTATTTCCACTGTCAGATCCAAGTCATTTCACTGTCTTCATCATTCCAAACCAATGGGAGGATCCTTTTCTGTGATTACAGTTTATCTCTGAGATAATGGCTTGTAGTTTTAGTAGCCTGAACCTGCAAAGGTTGATGGATGTGGAGTGCAATGTCTGGCCAGAAGAAAATATAAAAGTATAGTCTCCATAGAGAACCAAAAACTAGCTGAGTGCCATCTCAAGAACTCTTTATGTGGCTGATCTCTGCTCCTGGGCAGCAGCAGCACTTGCCCCTGCCCAACCTTTACATCCTTCCTTGTCCTGACACCTCGTGTTCTTTCTTTCAGCTTGTGGCATGAATGTCCACCACAAGTGCCAGGCAAAAGTAGCAAATCTCTGTGGAGTGAACCAGAAACTGATGGCTGAAGCTCTGGCAATGATAGAGAGCACTCAGCAGGTAAATATTTTAAGCATTTTTAGATGCTCTTCTCATAAGCAAAGAGCTCTTTCTAGATTTTGGCTTTTGTGAGTCACACTCAAGAAGTCATGGAGTTGTTCATTACCTCAGGGCGTGACTTTTGGCTCAAAAATTTGCTGGTTTCTGTGCCCCAGGCTCGCTGCCAGCGTGACAGTGAACAGATCTCCAGGGATGGACCTCTGGAGATTGGCTTCCCTGTTCCTGTGAAGGATGTGACACCACTTCAGGCCTTGCCAGGCTCAGGAAAAAAAGGTAATTCCTCCTGGTGACACAGGACAGAGTTTTGTTCTTGTTTGGTTGGTACTTGGTTAGTTGGAGGTGACACGAGTGGGGAATTTTTTGCCAAGCTCTAAACAGGATATTTGAAATCCTTCTGATCACCATGGTAAATTTTCTTTCTGATTTCATATTTTTGGGTGGAGGTTGACTTCTGGTAGGTTTGAAGACCAGTGATAGACCTCCACTCACCCAGGAGCTGATCTAGGTGTCACAGCCCTCTGTGGTACAAGAACAGATGTTTAGGAGAGTAAATGAGAGACTGTGCCCTTTGGGCCCCAAGGAGAAATAAATGATGTCCCTATCTCTGTTTATTTTTGTTCTGTTCTACAAGTAGAACTGGCTGTGCTGATGTGAAACAGTAAAGTCTCAGGTGGGTTCACATCTGCTTCACACATGGGTCTGTTTGCCTGCTGAGTAGTGTTCAGTGGTTTAGAACAGTTACAGCAACAGGATAAATCCAGTGAGGGGAAAAATCTCTTACGAAATCTTATAAATCCAGGTTAGTGGAGTATTGAAAAAACTCAGAGTGATTCCAGTCCAGGCTGGCTGGAATGGCTGATCTGGAATGCTTCACATCCAGAGCAGGGGCACAGTATGAAATTGCCATCCCCCCTTTTCTTCTAGCTTTGCCTAGGGTTTTGAAAAGACCTTGAAAAAATGAAACCATGTCATAATGGCAAGCAGCAAGAAGGGCTGGAGAAGACAGGTGGCCAGAAATTATGGTGCCACAAAACAGAAAGCCAGATGAAGGAGTTTGTAACGTGGTTTGTAAATTAAAAAAAAAGCTACTGAAGAAGATGCAGTTTCTTCTGGAGAGAAAGCAGTGTGGGAGCAGAGCCAATCCATTCAGAAATGGCCACCCCACTTCCATGTGTCTAAAATACCCTTTTAAACCTCTAAGCAGAATACTTGTGAGTGTTCTGGGGATTTTCTGCTCCTGCCCAGGGGTTTATTTAAGTACTCTGATGTGTGTTGCAGAGCCACAAGGCATCTCCTGGGAGACTCCAGTGGAAGGCACAGTGAAGGGAGAGTCTCTCATAGAGTCAGACTTGGGAGAACAGTCTCAGGAACAGCAGGAGCACCAAGTGCAGTTAAAACTGACCATTGAAGATTTTGTCCTGCACAAGATGCTGGGGAAAGGCAGTTTTGGCAAGGTAAGCATTGGGGCTGGGACACCACTGTGTGCATTTGCATGTCACTTTGTGTGGCACTAAATAATATCTGGTTTGAAGGGACACTTAGGAAAAAAACATGTAATCATTTAGGTTGGAAAAGACCTCTAAGGTTTTTGTATCCAACTGTTAACCCAGCACTGCCAAGTCCACCACTAACTGTGTCCCCAAGTGCCACATCCACGTGTTTTTGGAACACTTTCAGGGATGGTGACTTCACCACTTCTCTGGGCAGCCCCTTCCAATGCCTGACTAGTGAAGAAATTTTTTTTAATATCCCATCTCAACCTCCCCTGGTGTAACTTGAGGCTGTTTCTCTCCTCCTGTCCCTGTTCCCTGGAGCACAGCCTGACCCCCTGGCTGTCCCCTCCTGGCAGGGACTTGTGCAGAGCCACAAGGTCCCCCTGAGCCTCCTTGGCTCCAGGCTGAGCCCCTTCCCAGCTCCCTCAGCCTCTCCTGGTGCTTCAGCTCCTTCCTCAGCTCCATTCCTTTCCCTGGACACACTCCAGCACCTCAGTGTCATTCTTGTAGTGATGGACCCAAAACTGAAAACAGGATTTGAGGTGTGGTCTCATCAGTGCCCTGTGCAGGTCACTGCCCTGGTCCTGCTGCCACACCATGGCTGATAAATCTCCAAGTCTTCAAAGAATCCATCCTGTGGCATGGCTGAATCCTGAACTCCATCTTCTCCTCACCTTGTCCTTCTCCCTGTCCCATTAGTTGCTCTCCCAATGACAGGACAGGGATGCCCCAGGTAGGGTTTCAACTTGCCCTTCTGTGCAGATTGATGGATCCAGGATATCCCCAGAGAGTTGGTGGGAAAGGTCTCTGTGCTCTCCCTCCTCACAGGGAGGTGGAAGCACGAGCTGAGAAGCTGTGTGTGGATCAGCTCTGCTCTCCAGAGCAGCAAATCCCAGCTGGGAATAGGAACTGCTCTTTCCAGCTCTGATCTGTGCTGGAACCCAAAGCAAATTTTGCAGCAGCCAAGAATTTGTGCTTTTGAAACAAGAACCACCTGTTTTCAGCGGATTCATTAATCCTGATGAACTGTGGATTGTTCTTCCTCTTTGCAGATATCCCCTGGGAGGGGACTCATGTTACTCAGTGCCAGCACAAAGCTGAGAGAAGCAATTTCAGAGGGACTCCCCATTGTGTTTTCACAGCCAGTAAGGAGAAGGAGTGTGGATCACATTTCCCACATCCCACATCTTTCCAAGGGGGAAAGTAGACCTTGACAAAGGGCTGCTTTTTGCCTGCTAAATGATCTAGGGCAATTGCTGCAGCCAGTTCTTCAACTGGTGAAATATTTCCTGTATTTGCCTTTCACACCTGAAAGAAATAAAATCATAGAATGGTTTGGGTTGAAAAGGACCTTAAAGACCATCCAATTCCAGCTCAATGGACAGGGAAATTTTCCACTAGAAAGTGTTGTCATGTCCACAGTTTGCATGGGAGCCAGAGCTGAGGAGTGTCACAGCTAAACCCGGGTTTTCCCAACTCACCTTTTCGGCTTACCTTGAATTCAGGGGGTTGGTTTTGTTGGAACCTTTTTTTTTGGAGGGAAATTTTTTTTGGGGTTTTTTTTCCTTAACCCTTTCTTCAAAAAGGTTTAATGAAATGAGGTTTCTCAGGTGTTCATCAGTTCAAGTCTTGAATGCCTCCATTGAATCACATTCTGTACCTTGTTTTAGCCCTCATGCTGACATGGACTCTCCAAGCTTCTGCATCTCTCTGAAGTGCACAGTGTGGGTGTGGAGAGGATGGGCCATTTCGTGCCTTTCTGCAACAAAAACTCACCCACGAGTTTCCTGTGCTGGTGTCGCTCCCGGTGCCCTCATTTGCTTGGAGCAAGATTCACTTCCCCATAGAGGGGAGAGGGTGTGCAGATCTCAGTGCCCGAGGGGTCTCTCCAGTTCTGTGTGATCCTGGGAGGTTGAGGGGCAGATATCTCCCACCACCACCTCTGGTTGTGGTCTGGCATTGCCTTCCTGCTCCTTGGAAGTCACAGCACAGGTCACAAATGCAGCAAATTCATTCCCCAGTTCAGTGCCCAGCACAAACATGAGGGTATAAAGGGTGCCTGCAGCATCAGCACTGTGAGCATTTCTGGTCATTCAGCACAGAGACAGAGGGAGGCTCTAGGCTCTACTCTCTGTCTGGTGCTACAAAGTGAAATGCAGCAGTAGCCAAAAGGGTAAATAAAACTTTTGTCAGGGCTAAAACATGTCCCAGCTTACTCAGTAAATAGCGTCTGGCAGAGAACTTCAAAGACCTCTGTGATGAATCTTACACATTTATTCAGTCTATGGAAACAGGGTCAGCAGGCTGTTAGTGTGAAGATCAGGACTGCCACTGCCTTCCTGGAGAGACTTCTTTGTTCTGTGGTCTCTAGAAAACCATTCTCTGCTGCTCTGGGTTTTATTTTTCCTGCCTATAAAAATAGAGGTTGTAACTCCTCTGGGACGTGTTTTCCCATTCTCAGAGAGGTCCTGCAAAAGCAGCCCATGTGCTCAGACCTGAAAACTGAGAGGAAGGAAAGACATCTGATATAAATCCAGTCTAACTACTGGTGGACATCATTTTCCACCTGCTGAAGATCTGGTGCAGGGTATTTGCATTTCGAAATGCTGATGAAGCAATATTGTGTGTTTTATTGTTTGAAGTCAGAAAACAGGAAATGTACCTCAGGAGCATTTGCATGAGGGTGGTTTCTGGTATCAGAGGTGTTTGGCTCTCTGGCATGTCCTGTCCATCCATCCTGCTCCTCTAATTGCCAAGAACTTCACATCCTTCTCCAGGGCTCAAGTTCATAAAACTATTCTGGGTGTGGGGAGCAAACTCAAAGTCTTTAATGGCAGAATGGGGCCTTAAACATCAAGGTTTTTAAGGTGTACCCCAGTGAATTCCCAGGAGCTCAGCTCCCACCCTCACATGGCTGCTCTGAGAGGAGATAATCCCTCATTCTGAGCAGCTGTTTCCATTTTAGGTATTCCTGGCTGAGCTGAAGAGCACAGACCAGTATTTTGCTGTGAAAGCCCTGAAGAAGGACGTGGTGCTGATGGATGACGACGTGGAGTGTACGATGGTGGAGAAGAGAGTCCTCTCCTTGGCTTGGGAGCACCCATTCCTCACTCATGTCTTCTGCACGTTCCAGACCAAGGTAAGACAAGGATCTGCCACCTTCTTCCACAGGCTGAGAATGCTGTACTGAAATGCAGAATGCTTCACTGAAATACAGATGCTTGGTGAAGGGCTTCAGCCTGCTGGGGTCCACTTGGGACATGAAGTGGTGCTCAGGGAAGGGATCTTCAGATTAAGCACTCAGGAAATAGCTCCATAAATTTAATCTACTTTCCTCACATCAATCTGGGGATGGAATGGTGTATTTGAGGATTATGGCATCCAAGACTAATTGAGGGACAATCTGCTGTTAAAACCTGCATCCTGCTACCCTGGGCCAAGGATGTGCCAAGGCCACACCCACACCAGGATAAGGATGTGCCCACTCTGATGTTTTATCTGAACCTCTTGGCCCATGGAGCATTGTGCTGCAGCTAGCCTGGATCAAAGCCAACTCAAGAAACCCTGGTTTTGGAGGATAAACATGCTGTCATTCACTTCTTAGCCCCTGTTACTGTTAAATGGTATCAGACACTGGTGGTCCTGCAGTCCAGAGCAGCTCCTGAAATCTTGCTTGTGACTCCATACCAAAACTGAAGTGACATTTAACTAATACACATATTTTCATGGTCCTACGTGCCAACAACTGCTCAGCTTCCCAGAGCCACAGCCAATAGCCTTAACACCAAAGCACACACAAGGTAAAGAAAGAAACAATGGAAGTTTGAGAGTTTTTCTTCTCTGTCCAACCTACTCAAACCATTCCTGAGAGATGATTGATATCTCTTAGCTCAAATTCAGAGCAGCACTGTCTCATGGCTGCTTGTTCAGGGTTTTGTTTGGATGCTCCCAGTCCCTGCTCAGCTCCAGGATTTGGTGGCACAAGGCACTGCTCAGTGGAAGGTTAGGACCTGCTCAGGAGGAGGCTCTTCTGCAGGGTCAGGAGAAACAAATACAAGCTCTGTGGCACATCCCAGTCATCTGTGGGATGTGGCACCTGTTTAAAGACAGGTTAAATTTATAACAGGGAATGCCTGGGAACTGCTGTAGGTGATGTGACACTGAGCCCAGGCATTCCTGTTTAACCCTTTTGGGACTGACAGTGGGGATAATGTGTGCTGGGAATTTATCCTTGCCTGGCAAGGAAAGGAATTAACTCCCTGCTTGAGGGGAGCTGGCTTTCAGAGGAAAATATAAATGCCACAACTCCAACTATAAATGCCACAAATGCCACGCTCTACAAAAGCAAAGGAGATAAAGGTTTCATTGAAGAGATAAAATATTCACAACAGTCACAGCTCTATAAGGGAGGTTTTACTCCAGGGATTGCTGCTTGTATCTCCAGAGGGATGCTGGCTGAAGCCAGCAGCAGAGCCAGGCTGTGCTGCAGCTTGGTCTGGGAGCTGCAGCTCAGGTTCAGGATGGTACAGCAGGGACAGTCTGGAGCTCTGGGTTCAGGCAGTGCAGACATGCAAGTGTCCCCTTCCCTCATGAGACCATGGCAAAAAGAGGAGAGACCAAATGGAGTCGTGTCAGGATCCAGGTGGGATTTACCAACTGTTTAAGGGGAAATACTGAAGGATGGAAAAGCAATGAGTGCCTGAAAAATTCAGGGTGCCAGGCTCGAAAAGCCAGATGATTTCTTTTCTACATTTCTGGGCAGCAGCACAGGATTGCCCTCCTGTCATGGAGAAAGAAATCAATCCATCTCATCCCAAGCCATCACTGCTGCTCTAAAGCTGTGTGACCTCCCCTTCTTGGCTTCACAGAGAGAGGAGCTGGAATGGGGCTGCCCAGAACAAAGCTGCTCTGGGTTCTGGTGCATTTTCACCTCCTGATTTTTCTCCTCTAACCTTTCAAGCCAGCAGGGATCACTCAGAGCAGGAAAGTCACTCAGAGCTGGGAGCTGTGACAACCTTGGATGGTCTTCCAGGGCTCAAGGGCAGTGTGGTTGTCAGAATGTCTTTTATGGCAATCATTTTAGGATCATGGAATGGTTTGGGTTGGAAAGAACCTTAAAGATCACCTATTTCCAACCCCACTGCCATGGGCAGAAGCCACAGCACCGCTGTGTAGAGTCTCTCTATGGATTTTAATATTGAAAATATGACTTTTTTTTTGTTTCTTGAAGTTTCAGTGGATTTCTGAATCCCTTGTGCTTTGGCTTAGCTGAGCTGCTCCAGGTGCTGAGTGTCTCTGTAAAGGACAGTAAACCAGGAATATTCCTACACCAAAACAAGGACCTCAATAGTCCACATGTTTCCAGAGTGGGGAAAAAACTCCTTTAGTCTGTTGACAGCTCTCTGAGCTCTGGGATGAGTTTCTTCCTCACCTCCAGCCAGGAAATGAGTGGCTGCTCAATTATATAAATCTGGAGAGCTCTTCAGACAGGTTTAGATGGCACCAGGCACTTAATGCCCCTCTCTATTCCAATGGAGCCTGAATGATCAGTGCCTTCAAACTTCAGAATATTTTTCTTGTTTTATTGCATGAGAATAAATGCAAGCCCATAGTGTTTGGTGGGGTTTTTTTTGTCCAATCTCTTCGGGAATTTTTCTGTTTTATTTTACTGCAGTCATCTTTGTATCCAGATATTCAACTGACATAATTACATACCCTGAATTTTAACAACAAGCTCAAAGAGCTGTTCTGCTATTTTGCTGTATTAGATTTAAAGGGATGCTGTTATGTTAAAGAGGAGGAAAAATATGTTTATAATTCTGTGAAATCCCAAAATCAGTAATGCCAAAACAGTGACTAGCATCCCAGAGCTTATGTTTTATTCTTTTTTGCATTTCACTGATTTTCTGCCATAAAAATAGGCTTTCCCTTTTTGAAAGTCACTTTTATTTCTGTTTCTTTACTTCATTGACCAAGTTTTATTAACACCCTTTACCTAAATGCAAATTAAATCTTGAGGCATTTTGACTTGCAGCACAAAATAGCAACAGAGAAGATTATCTCAACCCAAAAGAGAAGTAAGCGTTATTGCCATTTAAAAGAAAATATTACAGAAATGTTTATTTTCTGCTTTACTGTTGTATTTTATGTTTTCTCCTGGTGGTGAGCCTTTTTCACATGCTCTGTTGCCCTTGTGTCCTTAATACTGACTGAAAAATCTCTTACACTGGCAAGAAGGAGAAAAGAATCATAAAATGGTTGTGGGCTCCTAATTTTAAAATTCTTTGTCTCTGTTTTCCAAGGGTATTTTGAGATTTCTCATTAAAATATCTCCTCAGATGTTACTTCAATTTCTGAAATTATTTTTCTTTCCATGCACAATTTCAGTTTTCTTCTCTTTCTGACTTGCTCTTGAGGGGCAGGGCTGATTTCTTTGCCCTGAATCAGAGCACGGGGTTGGCACGTGGGCATTTCACAAACCCTTTGGATGTTCAGCTCCTCTGCCTGGTGGTGCCATGGACCTCCTGAACAGCCCTAGTTCCATCCTCCTACTTTTTCTTGGAAATATTTGTCCATCCTTGTAGTATTCTGAGTACTCTGAGCTTGGAAAAAATCTGCTTCCAGGCCAAATTTGAAGCAGCTGATGGGAAATTTTAGGAAAGCTTTGAGGATTTTGCCTCTTGCAACCAACAGGCAGGAAAACTGGCAAGGTCTCATTCAATCCTGGCCAAAATTTTAACGTGGTTTAGCAGAAATTGAAGCATCTCAGCAGAGCTTTGGGATTTCTACAAGGTTGTGCCAGAGAAGGTGTGAGCAGCTGTAATTGTAACATCTAATATATGAAGTTTTTGCAAGCCACTTCTAGATGTCAGCCCATGTGGTGTGAACTGGGGGAAGGCATTGGCCAGGAAAAGAGGAGGACAGTTCACCAGTGGGGTTTTTTTAAGTAAAAGTTGATTTCCATATTCAATACACATATTATCATTGCCTCCCCATTGTACAATCTGAGGAAAATCAGCCCAAAATGCATTTAGCTTTGCCTGAAATTTCTAAAAAATCTGCAGTCTAGCTGCACTTTATCCTGAAAAAAAATAGCTTCCTAAAATAAAAACATTTAATTTTTTTTTCTGTTTTTCAACTACTAAAATATTTCTGTTTCATGGATTTGGCTTCTTTTTGTTTCATTTTTGATCTGGTGATTTTTTTTTTGTTTTTAATTCAAAAACTTCAGGTAAATCTTTCTCTAGCCTTGAGAAAATTAGTCTCTCCCCAAGATTCTGCTGGACACTGATAGGGAAAACCACTTCCACTTGCAAGACATGGGCTGATAGTGCCTCAGTTTACCAGTGAGTGATGGACTCTGTCTGCTCTGAGTGTGAGTGAAGGTCTTGGGATCTCAAAGCTCAAGTGGAAGCCAAGTCTGCACCTTTATCACTGCAAATGTGTTTTATTTATGTGTATAAATGTATTCCTGCGCTTTGTACCAAGCAGATGGGCACACCACGCTGAGCATCCCAAATGAGCAGCTCCACATGCAGCTGGAAATGCTGACAGTGCAAGGATGAGAACAAGGAATAAACAGTGAGAGCAGGGGCTGGACTGGATGATTGGGCAGCTGTAAGAAATGCTGCCATCTCCAGAAGATAGGCTGATATTGCACAGAGCAAGGGGAAAAGTCTTTAAATCTTTAAAGTCTTTAAATTAAAGCTTGCAAAGCTGCAAGTTCCAGTGCAGGTAAATCATGGAATCACAGAATAATGAGGTTGGAAGAGACCTCTAAGATCATCAAGTCCAACCTATGCCCCAACACCACAACTAGTCTATAGCACCAATGCCACATCTGGTCTTTCTTAAACATATCCAGAGATGGTGATTCCACCACCTCCCTAGGAAGGCAATTCCAGTATTTTATTATTCTTTCAGTGAATTTTTTTTCCTAATATCCAACCTAAACCTTCCCTGACATACCTTGAGGCTGTGTCCTCTTGTTCTGTCAGTTGCTGGCCACCTGTGCACAACCTCCCTTCAGGAAGCTGTAGAGGACAATAAGGTCACCTCTGAGCCTCCTCTTCTCCAGGCTGAACAACCCCAACTCCCTGTAGCCACCTCCTAGGAAGGAGTAACCCTGTGCTAACTGTTCCTTGTGACAGTGGACACAGTGAGGACTGCACTTCCCTCTTTCCCCCTGGATGGGATGCTCCGATGGGATTGCAGCACTGAGCGCTGTGGTGGAAAAGGCTTGAGAGGCTTTTGGCTGCCAACTATGCCATGAAATAAAACAGATCCAAGGTGTGGATCGGCACCCAGACTGTGCTGAGCTGCATGAAAAGGTGAGACCAGAAGCAGCTGCAGGGATTGCATCATGTCCAGCTTTTCTCTTGGCCAGGGACAGCCTAGCTCAGTGGGAATGCAGCAGGATTAGGTCACTTGATCTGGAGCCTTCTCCACGTGGAGACATTTGTTAGGGTAACTGATCTAAACCCAGGTAAAGCCACACTGTCCTGCAGTATTAATTATTCTGACATTCACCCTTCTGGAAGCCCTGGGAAGAAGAATTTTTGCTCCTCAGTAAATGGTGATAAATTGTGTATCTGTATGTATGCAAGCGCTTTCAAAATGCAAAGAAAACAAAATCTGAAAATCTCTGCAATAAAGTGCTCTGGAGGGCTTCCAGCTGGTTAAAGGATTTTAAGAGCCTGTTAAAGGATGTACCTTCAAAAGATCAATTTAAATGCTGCCTGCTTTATACTCGTTGTTTATAAAGTTGAAAGCATCTCTGATAGTGACTATTCATTTTCACAGCAGTCGCAGCAGAGCAGGAGCAGGTTGGTTTAACTCCATCCCTGCCATGTCCTGGAGAGGCAGAGGGAGCAGGTGGCTCTGTGGGGAGCAGCTCAGTTCAGCACAGGCACTGAGGGATTGAAAGGGCAGGAGACTGAGTTCCTGCAGTTATCCAGGCTTTCAGCACCCGGCTGGGAACTGTAATTTTGTGTGCAGGAGCTGTGTTATTTTGTGCAGGACACTGCTGCCATGTCTGTGTGCTGTACAGCCTCATGTTGTAGGGCTCTGTCTGCTGCAGGAGCAGCACTTCACCCTCCCACAGAAGGGTTTGTCCTGTTCCTGGTGCTGCAATGGAGAAAACCCCTGGGAGATGGCCTAGAAGTAGGGAATGGCTGATACATGGATGTTCTTAAGACAACTGGTGTTAAATACATCAGGAAATGTTTGGACAATGCTCCCAAGCACATGGTGTGATTCTCAGGGTTGTCCTGTGCAGGGCCAGGAGCTGGACTTTGATGATCCTTGTTGGTCCCTTCCAACTCAGAATTTCTATGATTTTATAACTGTCCTGGTGCAGTGTCCATCCTTGAGTGCAGGAAGGGCCTTTACAATTCTCCTTGAGCTTTGTGGTCACAAACGATGGCCCTGAGGTCTGCCATGAGACCAAACTTCTTCACTTGTGTGAGTCCAGAACTATGACCAAAAGTCTGGCTTGAGCATTTGCTACCCAGGGATGCTCCCACAGTTGGTCAGCAAGTTTTCTGTCACCTGCCTGCAGGGCAGAGGGGCAGGGCATTCTTTCCAAGCCTGCTGTAGAGCTGTGTGGGTCTCACCACTGAGGAACAACATTCCTGCTTGTTTGCTCAACATCCACAGGCAGGACCCCTGCAGGGGATAAGGGCATGGCAGAGCCTTGAGCATCAGAGAATGGTTTGGGTTAGAAAAGACCTTTAAAGGTCATCTAGTCAGCTGTTCTGCAGTGAGCAGGGACATTTTCAACCAGATAAAACCTCCAAGTGCTGACAGGCTCCAGCAGCAGGCAGGAGCCATCAGCTGCCTTTCCCAGGACAAGAGGAAGCGAAGCTGGAGCCTGTGTGCAAGAACATCCTCTGTGCCACTCTTACCCTTTGACCTCCAGCACTCCCTTGAATTTTCGGTGCTTTCAAGAATGGGGTTTGCTACTTCCCATATTTCATGTCTTCTGTGGCTCTGTAGATCTCGGGGTAGGAAGCTGACTCCAGTGAGTTGTTGCACTTTGCCTTTCTTGGTTGCACCTCAGCACTCATAGTGACGTAGAGCTGATGTCAACCAGTTCTCCTCCACAAGCTATGCCAGGCATTGGTACTTCTTAAGAAGCAAGGGGAACTTCCAAGCCCCAGAGCAGCAAAGTCAGAGTGATCCTGTCTGTCTTTTCAATAGGGTTTATGTACCACTCTATAGCACCTGATATAAACCTCAGTACTAAACATTCCAAAGTAAATTTGTATTCTCCAGCTCCATAGCTTAAGGCAGTTAAGCAACAGCGTTTGTATATGTGGATGTAAATTAATCTGAGGGGTTGTCCACCTTTTCTTCCCTCAAGGATGCTGCAAGCATCCCCAGTTTCAAGTCAGAGTCCCTGGGTTCATTTAAGCAGGTACATTAGATGGTTGCTCAAGTCCATGAACAAGCAGAGTGTGACTGCTCATTCTACTGGATTATTTACAGTTAGAGATGTGTGATGAGGTGTAGCCAAAATCAGTGGGCTTTACAGGGGAACTGAGGGGTTTTCTCCTTCCCAGCCCACTAAAGCTGAGTCTGGCCCATTTCAAGACCCCTGAGGTTTCTTCAGTTCCAGCAGGACACACGTGGTTGCTGGTGTGTTGTTGGCTAAACCCCATCACCTCCCTGTGTACCTTCCCAAAGAGCATCTGTTCAAGTACTTTCCTGAATGGGCTCCTGAGCTCATGTTGCTTCCAAGATTTATACATTTCTTCTCTAAATTTCCCACCTTCCTTTGGCCTTTTTACTTGCTGGAACTCATTTACATGCACAGCCCCCTGCAGATGCAAGAAACACTGAAAACCTGCACCCATTTAGTTTAGTGATGGAATTTGTATTCTTTCCCCAGGAGGCCAGATCTGGCTTTGAGCTTGTTGGATGACAGGTGGGGTTTCCAGTGAGTCCATTTAAATAAGAGTGCTGTAATTAAGAGGATCTGGCTAAAGAAATTGCACAAATTAGAGCAGACAGCTGTTGTTTGAAAGGAACAAGCACTTTTGTGGTTTTTTAACATAGCCAGCTCTTGGCTTCCTGCCAGAGAAACTTACATGAGATCTTACGGATAAAAATCTTCAACTGTTAAAAATATAAGTGAAAATAACTCTATTTCCCCCCCAGAAAAAAATGTAATGGGCAATAGGCAACAAAAGGAAGATACTCAAACTTTATAGCATAGCCTAGAGATGACTGACTTCAGGTGTGTACAGAACAGAGAGGGGCTTTTGAGGGGAAAAAATTCCACATCCACTTTGTTTTATTCCTGCTTTTATGCACAAAAGGTGAGATTCCCAAAACAGAAGTTTAAATTGGGACCACAGCTCAGTGTGCAGATCCTTTTCCTTCATAAAAATGTGTCCTTTCTGCTTTCTAGAGACAATTCAGTGTGGAAGGGATCAATCCAAACCAGCTTCTGCAGGGTTCTGGTGATGAGTTTTGGCTGATGAGGCTGTGACAGGATCAGTGTTGTGTACATGAGCAACCTGGTCTAGTGGGAGGCATCCCTGCCCATGGCAGGGAGTTGGAAATTTAGGGGTCTTTAAGGTCTCTTCCAACCCAAACCATTCAGTGATTCCATGATTCTGCATCAAGGATTGGAAGAGAAACCTCAGTGATCAGTTCTGCTCATTATACATAAAGAGATTCCATCATTTCTATGTACCAGGAGGAGAGTTTTTCACTGCCTTGGTTAAACAATTGATGGTTCATGAAACTGGAGACCAGAACTTGACTTTTTCCAGGCTTCTCTCTGTATCTAGAAAAATTATTAATTAATTGCTTTCCCCACTAGCAAATTACATAGAGAAGCTTTCAGGCTTAAAATCAAGTGTGTGCTTAAAACAAATTGTTGTGTCTGGTTGGTGTCTCTGATAACTTGAAAAAGTCAGACCCAGGTGCCTCCACAGAAGCTCTGCAGGAATGCAGGTGACACCAGCTTGAAGTCACACCTCTGGATGGGTCCTGTACTGGGATGGGGACCAGAGGAGATCTGGGAGTCACTTTTGCCTTTTCCAGTACTCCCCTGAGAAGCCTGTCCATCTGTCCTTCTGCTGTCCATCTGTCCCCTTTCTGTGAGCCTGGAGCTCTGCTGGTAAAAATCCACAGCCTCAGCTGGTTATGACATGTGGCTTTGCAGTGTTTGTTAGTAGTGTTTATAGAACACAGAGCAGGGAGTGTGAGTATGGGCTTAGGGAACCAAAAGGAGAAATGAGGAATGTAAAAAAGAGCTGCTTTCTTTCCAAAACCCTCAGTAATACTCTCCTTCCGCTTTCTGAGCGGTTTGGTTTTTTTTTTTTTAATAGTTAAACTTTTACCTTGCTTTTCACCACCCCTTATTTATTGTCACCTTGTCTCCTTCTCTAGGAAAACCTCTTTTTTGTGATGGAATACCTCAATGGAGGAGACCTCATGTTCCACATCCAGAGCTGCCATAAGTTCGACCTTCCCAGAGCAACGTAAGACATTTATCATTGTATTTTTCATTGCCTTTGGGCCTGACTTGATTTTATTCCCAGCTCTGCTACTGCCTTGTAGAGGGAATCTTGGGCAGATTATTTTACCTCTCTTCACCTTGCCCAGCTGAAAAGTGGGGAGGATGCTTGTGCTGGAAGCCAAGTCCCCTCTCTATCCCAGCTGTCTCCAAACTCAACAAAACCATACAGGCCATCCTCCCAGCTCAGTGAAGGACTGGAGTGAGTCACTCCCCATCCTCTTTTCCCTCCCACAGAAGAATTTTAGACTCCATCCACACAGTTGGTTTCACTCAGACGTGACCTTGCTTCTTTACAACACTCTGTAGCCAAGCTGCAGGACCTGCTTGAGCTGAGGTTCCCAGCCCAGTGGTCAGAAGTGAAGCTGTTGTTTGTTAGAAGTAATGGGATTTTCCCTTTTCTCCCCTTAAAGTTCAAGGGGGTGGGGTGAAAACCTATCAAAAGTACAAAAGGTAAATTTAAACAAAGAATTAATATACCAGCAGAGAATTAAAAATGTATTTAGCTTTGATTAAAGTAAATGGAAGAATTAGAATAAATGAAAGGTGCTTTTGATCCTTCTGCAAGCAAAAGGTATTTTGAAAGTCAATATTGAAACCACTATAGGAATCACTTTTATTTAATAATTTAATAACTACAACCCCCCACCAGCATCTGATGATATTTTTTAAATGCATTTGAATGTCCAGAATTAAGGGCCAATGCATTGAAGACTGAAGGAGCAGAGCTGTGCCACACTGGAGGGGAATATGATCCTCTGGTTTCATCCCTTCTGGGACAGCACTTTTCATTCTTCACACTGATGCTGCTTCTGCAGCAGGATGTGGTGGTGTCCTTTGGGTAAAAATATGCTGAGAACAACAACTTCAAGCTCAAAAAAACTCCAGAGAAAGGCCACCAGCCTGCTGGATAGCCCATATTATGGATAAGCTTTCAAAATCAGAAAGAAATTTCTTCACTGAAAGTGTGGTCATTCATTGGAACAGGCTGCCCAGGGAAGTGGTGGAATCACTGTCCCTGGAAGTGTTCAAGAAGTGTGGATGTGGCACATGAGGACATGGTTTAGTGGTGGTTTTGGCAGTGCTGGGTTAATGGTTGCACTTAACCAAGCACTTTGGCAGTGCTTGGTTAATGCTAGAGGGGTTTTCTAGTAAAAATAATTCCAGAATTCCAGAATTCTTTTACTAGAAAGTCATAAAACAAGGCAGGGAAGAGGGCAGGGAGTCTGTCTGTGCTCCCCATCCCAGATTCTTCCCTACTTTTGGGAATCTCACATCACCCATCAGTAAAACACAGTCACCACAAGCCTTCTGGAGACACTCCAAACCTGGGAACCTAATGAAATTTTGGCTTTTGTGGGGACAAGGTTTCCATCTTTTTGGTTCTAGTTGAAAAAATCTTTGGGAAGCTCCTGTTCTGACTTGTGCCTTCTGTTATTCAGGTTTTATGCTGCTGAAATAATTTGTGGGCTCCAGTTCCTTCATTCCAAGGGCATAATATACAGGTAACTTAACTCTTGAATGTAATTAATCTGCTAAATGCTAAACCTTTTCTGCTTTTCCCTGCAAGCATCAATGACAGCAGAGAGGCTGTTTCTTGGCTGTACTTACTGGTACTGCAAATCTCTGCAGATTTCCCTTTTTACATAGTTTGGGTGTTTTATTTTGAATAAAGAGTGAAGAAAAGGCAGTTTTGATCCTTCTGTCAGAACCCAGTTCTGTTTCAGTTAGCATTAAAACAAACCCCTGGATGCATTTGCACAGAGCCATTCACACAGCACACAGTGTAGACACCTTGTTTAAGCTTTCAACATATCAAGGTATATTAAGGTCAAGTCAGACACAAGAAATTTGTTACATCTGCTCTGCTGGTTACCTTGGGACAGTGGTGACAAGCTCAATTCAAGTAACAAAAGCAGGGAGACAGTGATGTATCTTAATTTTGGATTAATTTTGTGCACAATGGTCAGATGGGATTCATGTCACCATCATGAATCTGAGTTGTTAAGTTCTTCTTGTAGTAAGCAGAGAGCACAGGGCATTTTGAGGTTCATCAAACCTGTGTTAAAATGTGTGTGGGAAGTGCCCATTAGGCCACAGTCTGATTTCCCATTGCCAAAAGGAGGAACTGAATTTCTGGGGAGCTCTGATTAAGCTCAGCTTCATGGCAAAATTCAGTTACTACATTGCAGCCTTCTTTAAAAGCAGAAAACAAATAACTTGTCACAAATAAATGAGAAAGCTCCCTACAGCAACGATGTTTGCTGAAACCAAAATGAGCTTATTTCAGTGTTTGTCATGTAGCATGAACATTAGAGCAAATGCTGAAAGTGGATGGCTTGCTCACAATCCATTCTGCCTTTAAAACACGAGCTTTGATTTTTATTAGTACTCATGTGGGAGCCATTTATAGTCTTTATTGACCAGTGGTGGTGATTGCATAAACATGAGATCAATATCAGTGGCATTAAGCTAAGATGATCTCTGGGGCCTCTGCAACTTTTCTGACTTTAATTATTGTTCTCCATGAGTGAAGGGAAAAATTTTCTGGTGCCCAAATCACTTGACCATGTCTGCTATTTTTTAGTCAGTCTTCTCAGAAAATCTGATTAAAATATCTGCAGGACATGGTGACTTTATGGCAGGGCTGCTAATGCTGGCATTTTATTTATAATTCACATTTTTAGTTGGAATCACTGCGCCAGTGCTGTGTTGGGACTTGGGACTCATTTCCTCCTGAGAGGAGAGGGGTATTTAGAATCTGGAGCCTTGGGAATTGAGGGAAAATTGGGACATCTGGGCATTGGGTGGCATAGGAAGAAATACTTCATTCCCAGGAGTTGGTGATATTGCTTTGGGTATCAAGCGTTGAGAGAAAAGGTTTAACCAGTCCTACTGTCTTTTCCCTTTTTCACTGAAGACAATGACAATGGGGTCAGCTGAGAACACAGAGTCATCAGTATTTCTGTCAGAGCAAACTAAGCACTTAGGAAAGTGAATAGAAATATTTTTTGAAATGACATCTCTTGCGATGCCGTAAGAATAATGAATCCAGCTGTTCTGTCTCATGCACCCACGTTTGGAAACATTGGCTTAAATTTGAATGAATGAGCCGAGGTATTTTTTGGCAGAAACTCCAGTCCCTGGAGCCAATGAGTTTGAGACTCATCAAAATAATGAAAGCAAACTGTAGGTGATGGGTTTTGTTTTTTTTTGTTTCGCTTCGATCTACCAGATGAATAAAAGCAGTGCTGGCAGCCTGAGATTGATCTCAAAGTTGTAACTAAAATAAGCAATTCCAGCTGGAAATTGTGACAACATGAGTGTCTGCTGCTTGGAAGGCAAATGTCTCAGTTTTCTCTGTATTTCTCTTTGATTGATGACTCCCATTTTGTCTTGGGCCATATTCTTGCAGCAGCGAACAATTGCCCCGTGACAACAATTTAGTGTGTAAATATTGCAATGTCCCCCACCCTGATGGGGACCTGGCCCAAGCAAGACAAGGAGAGAGAGACTGAAGAATCATCTTCCCTGCAATTGGGGGTCATTATCCTAGGAGCATCAAGCATTAGAAATTACCTTTTTTTGAGGAAAATTTCTGAAAAAAACCCACATTGTAAAGCAGTTGTCAGCAGGAGGGTGTCCCTGCAGTAGCCTTGTTGTTAGGCTCTGGTCTGAGATGTGGGAAATCACAGATTCACTGAGTGGTTTGGGTTGGACGGAACCCTAAAGATCACCAGCCCCCTCGCCATAGGCAGGGATGCATCCACAGGATCAGGCTCCATCCAACTTGGCCTCTTGGCCAAAATATGTGTAGGCTGTGAATTAGTGTAAAAAAATTACACCCTCAGGTGTGGGTACAAGCAAATGTTTTTGGGTGTTTTGGGAGTCCTGAGAAGGAGCAGTGATTGATAGCAGTGCAGAAATGTGTGTGCTCACAGACCAGGTGACCCAAATTCTACCCACATCCTCACTTAAGTGCAGCATCACTGATCCAAACATTTTACCTTATTATCTCAAATAAAAACAAAATCTTTAGGTAAGATTTAAGAAAATTAACATAGAAAGCATGCCAGCCTTCCTGTCTGCCTTTTCTATTTTACAAGCTTTTGTCTCCTTTCAAAGTTAGTTCCCACTTGAGGACCTCTTTGCTCACCACCAATGGTCATGATTCATCAGCTCATTTGCTTTTATTTCCTTCTCTGTGCATTTCTGGTTTCTTCCTCTCTCTGGGCTCTTTGTTTCCCAGAGTAGCTCAGAGCCTGAAAACTCAGTCAGCAGCCTGGCAGCTGAGAGTGAAAGGCTTTGTAAATCCTGGGGTTCAGATGGTGCAGCCCAGCAGTGGTGGGGGCTCTGCTGATGTCAGGGATTATTCTGACCCTCTGCAGGGCTTGTGGGTCCTTACCTCTTGTGACATTTCAGAGAGAATATTGAGATTCCCAGTGAGGATTCTGCTCTCATTCTCCAGGTTGTGTTAGGGCAGGAGCACCAGCTGGCACAAAGCCCTTCTTAGCTTCACTACTATGCATCCTTGAAGGAAACAGCTTCTAAAAGCTGTTTTGGGTGATGTGATCCCTGGAAGTGTTCAAGGCCAAGCTGGATGTGGCTTGGAGCAACCTGGCCTAGTGGGAGGTGTCCCTGCCCAGGGCAGGGGATTGGAATTGGGTGATCTTTAAGGTCCCTCCCAAGTCAAACCATTCTGTGATTCCATGATTCTGTGTCTTCTCCAGCAGATAAATCAGTGCTGCAACAAGAGAAATGTGGAAGAGGGATGCTGAGGCCCAAGAGAGCAGTTCCTCATTTATCCCTCAGCCTTCCTTTGTATTTCCAGCATGTAGGCCCTACAGAGAACAAGTGTAATAAATATAACCTGCTAAAATAACTTGGTGTGCTTTACACTTTGAAGAACGGGATTTTCTTCTCTTCCTCCACAGAGACTTGAAGCTGGACAATGTCCTCCTGGACAATGAGGGGCACATCAAAATTGCTGACTTTGGGATGTGCAAGGAGAACATGTTTGGAGATGCAAAGACAAGCACTTTCTGTGGGACTCCTGACTATATTGCCCCTGAGGTAGGAAAATATTAAATATATAATACCAGTTTATCTCAGTCTAGGTTTTAGTTTTTGAGTTCAAAACGGGAAAGACACAAAGTAGTAAAACTCATCTTCATGTAGTAACATGAATTTGGAATTTTTCAAGAACAAATAATGCCCCTGTGTGGGGCACAGGGAGGTTAGCAAGTGCTGTGGGACAGGAAACACATCTCCAGGCAAAACTGCTGTGCATTGCTGGAGGTTGCAAAGAGGAATAACCTGGTTTGGAGCAGTTCCAGGCCAGAAACTGGATTTCAGCATGGCTCGGAGTCTGTGTTGCTGTTTGACATTGCTTATTTTGTGGTTAATTAATTTTTTTTGGTGCAAATGGAACTTAGTTTAAACCAAGAAAAGAATGCTTAATGGAAATTATTTTTGAGCCATGGCAGAAGAAACTCCAAGAGGTCCTACAATTGAGTGACAGACATAGCCTGAGGTATAGTGACTGTGCCCTTTCCCTTATTTCTTTCAATTTTTAACCAGACATAAACTTGTTCTTTTCTTTTCTTAGAAAATTTACATGTTTTGAACTAGATCCCTACAGAAAAGAGAAAGTTTCCTTAACCTGATGACTTCACACAATGATAGATCTTACTATGGAGAGGCTTTGACTAATTAGGTGGCCAAAGAAAGCATTTTTTAGCTCAGAGAAAAACATACAAGTCATCCATGCCTCATGTCTGACATCAGTCTGAAATCCATTTATTTACCTTTCAAGATTCCATTTTGTAATTTTAGTGTTTTCATGATGGATATTGGTATTTTCCAAAGAGTTGTCAAAGCCTTTAGGGTTTTTTTCCCCCTCTACTGTAATTCCTTGGTCCTTCACTGTGCACTAAGGGCTCAAGTCTGGCTGAGGTTACACCACTGCAGGCTCAAGGATCTCTTCAAATCAATTGGATTTCTATTGCCTAAGAATGGGTGTAAGTGCTCTGCAATCAAGCTGCAATTGTCTTTTATTCCACTTCTGTATGCCTTAATATAAGGGTAAATAAAAAGCTATATTTTGCTCCTAAAAAAAATATAGCCAAGTTTTGACCCATTTTCTGTGATTTTATTTTATAGAAAAGAGAAAAACTGAAATAGCTCAGAGTTTTATTTCTACACCATGTTTATTTTAGGGATTCAACGAGTGCATATAAAACATTTTATCTCTAAATTGAAAGCACTTCTGGAGTTTATGGATCATCTCTCCTGCCACAGGCAGGAGCACTGGACTCTGTCAGTATTTCACTGCAGCTGCTGCCACTGTAATTTGTTACAGACCCACCACCTTAGCCACAGCCATGCAAATAAGGGTCAGTAAACAAGCAATTATTTTTTCATTTCAAAAAATACCTGACAAGTACAAAACAGCCTGAAATGAAATTACTGAGTTTATTTTTGTCCCAGAGAATTTAAAACAAAATAAACCTTTATTTTCTGACTGCCATAAAAGCACTTCAATTTCAATTTTGAGATACTTTAGACTTTTAAAGATAAAGCCTTATAAAAATAATTTCTTTTTTCAGAAGGAAAGGTTGGGATGATTTTGTTTGTAAGTGATCCAGAAAAAATATATTAAGGGGTCTTGCTGATTTTTTTTCTTTTGGCTCTGAGTGGAACTCATTCTATATATTACAACATATATTCAAATATCTTTTTTGTACTTTTGGCATCTCTTCTTCTGGAGAGGGATGTAGTATAGAGCATCTCATTGCAATGAAAATGTGGGCTCAAGAGTAAAGATTGTGCCTCAAAATTAAATTTTTCCCTCTAAAATTCTGATAAGAATCCTATACACCACAGTCATCATGTGAACCTTTAGGTATCTCCAATGTAAAAATCTATGTATGAGCAAGTTTTTGAGGCTCCTTGAGAACCAAAGGAGACAAACAGGTGTTGTGTTTTACAAGCAGGTTGATATTTATTGGGATGTTTAAAACTGGGCAAATTCCCTTCCTTGGCTATAAAAGGAGATAGTGATAAGTGGTTCAGCTCTAGATATCTCCACAACAGACATCTAAAGGCAGGTGAGATTAATTTTGCCTCTCCAGAAAGGAAGTTTGAGAACTTGGTGATGGTCCTTTAGGCCCTGGTGAGGTCGTCATTCCAGCTGGATGTCACTTTATAGGTGACACTGAAAGGTACAAACCAAGGGACTGACTGAGGACAAATTTCCATTCCTCCATCTAAAACCCAGTTGGTCTCAAGAGGACACATCAGCAACCCATTTCATGTTTTTCCTGGGGAAGATTTTCCTGAGGTAAAGACATTTTAAGTGACTGATAGTCCTAAACTACCTTGATGCTGCCACATTTGGAATTTTAAAACTCAGCTTGTATCACTGGAGTCAATCCCAAGATGCTGATATCTGACCATTTGTCTTCTTGGACTTCACAAGCCTGATCTGAACCCTTGGAGAGCAGGCTAAACATGACTTGTCTCATCTCTTATAGTTGAGATCTCTGGTAGCCAAGGATTTGTTCAAGTCACGTAAGAATTACCTGCAGCCTGTTGTCTGTAGTGCCAGGGACTGTTTTGGCACCCAGGTGTGGCTGTGCCTTGTTGCTCCAGGAGCCACATGCCCTGCTCCACTGGCAGATTTCTGGCTCCTGCTGCAGGCAGGGGGAAGCACCTCTGATAGAACCAGCTGTTGCAAGGCCACAGTCTGGCCACCCTCCTGAAGTTGAAAAACTCATATCAGACATTTTACTCCTGCCTTTGTGGCTTCTTTCTGGGCAGATATTGCTGGGGCAGAAGTACAACACCTCTGTTGACTGGTGGTCCTTTGGTGTCCTCCTGTATGAGATGCTCATTGGGCAATCCCCTTTCCATGGCCAAGATGAGGAGGAGCTTTTCCAGTCCATCCGTATGGATAACCCCTTCTACCCTCGCTGGTTGGACAAGGATGCAAAGGACATTTTGGTGAAGGTAAGAATCAGCACCTATCAAATCAATGTCTTTCTGCCAGAATTACTGTCTTCAATTTGTTTCTCTTCAGCTGTTGTAGAGAGGAACAGATTTAGTTTAGTCACTGTCTTTCCTGTGAGCATCAAACCACACATCTCCCATAAGGAACTTGTATATCTTCCTTCTCCTGATTCATGATGGTGGCTCCTCACAGACACCAGCAGAGATCAGTTTCTTTGCAGAGCAGTCCTTAAGGTGCAAGGCTTGTTAACTCCTGGAAAAAATACTTCAAACTAAGTGTTACATCAGATTGAGATGCTGAACATCTCTTTTTGGGGCACATGCTGCCATCTTTCTGTCCAAACAGCCATTACTTCTGTCAGGATTAGAGGTAGTAATCATTTTAATACCAATCAGTAAACTTCCTTGTTTAGGAAAAAAAATATTCCAACATTTTCTTCATTATGGCCTCTTCTAATTGCACTGACTATGGATAATTACATGTTCCAACCTGCCTTATGACTGTATTATCATCAGAGAATTTAACCTATGGGATCAACATTCCAGCTTTTTGTAAGAGAACCTGAGAGGAGACTGGGAGCGAGAGGGAACATCCGCCAGCACGCCTTTTTCCAGGAAATCAACTGGGAAGCTTTAGAAGAGAGAAGGATGGAGCCTCCTTTCAAACCAAGAGTGGTAAGGATGGATCTTCTTTCAGTTCCACCCATCTCAGGTCTTCTAAACTGTGCATTTCTACTGGGTGCCTGACCTGATCCTCACAATATTGCTTCGTGGTGGCTGCAAGCCCAGGTCTGGCACACCCACACCTGAGAAATCATAAATTACTCATTGTTTCCTCAGTTACTGCAGCAGGGTAACACCTTCCCTTCAGCACAGAACTGCAGCCCATTCTGAAGGAATTTTCTTTCATTGCACTGCAGAAGATAAAACAGTTCATAAACCAATTGTTTGGCTACATCAGAATAATTATTAAAGTCCTGTTAATATTAATATTAATATTAATATTGATATTAATATTAGTAATAATAATAATATAACTTAACTGTTACACAATTGGTGACTTCAGTCTGCCATGTTACAATGCTGTAACATCCCTGTCTGGCAGATTTCCTGGATCACAGGCTCAGTGCCTCCTTTATAATATTTATATTTACTGGCTCCCAACTGAAGGTTGAGCTGAGCCCATAGGAAGCAGCCTGATAGGATCAGTACCATGGTAATAAAGATCTGATTAGTGGTTTGACGTAATTTTTTTTTCCTTTTCTTGAAGAAATCTCCAAGTGACTGTAGCAACTTCGACAAGGAATTCCTAAATGAAAAACCGAGACTGTCCTGTGCTGACAGAGCACTGATTAACAGCATGGACCAAAATATGTTCAGCAACTTCTCTTTTGTGAACCCTAAAATGGAGAAAATATTTTCCTGAGATCTGCCTTACTGAAGGAATTCTCTGTAATGATTTGAGTAGCACTTTGTCAACTGAAGACTGTGCATGGTTGTTTTTATCAAGAACCCTCCAGAAAGAAAGCACCTCAGTGAAAGTTTGTACCATCCCTGGAGGCTTCTGGCTTTTTCCAGTCTATAGCAGATGCCAGCCCACTCTTCATTGATGATAAAGTTTCTTTGTGGTATCTTTTGGTCTCTCTTCTCTCTCTTCCCAATGTTCTTGAAGTTGAAAACATCTGAAAATGAGGAGATGCCAAAACCTGTTCCCCAGTATTTGTGCACAGAGCCAACAGGTTTCTCTGTAAGGAAAAATAGGTATATTTGAGCTTCTGGTGATGTCAGTGCCCATTTCAGCAACTCTGACCCAGACCTATCTTCTTCTGAAGGAAAAGTGGTTTGCTCAAGGCCTGAGGGTGTCAGGGAAGACTCAGGTTGGATGCTTTGGTAACCTCCACTTGTAGATGTGCAGAACTGCCAAAGTGTGCACAGCTTTGAAGAAGAAATTTACTCCCTACTCCCTTTAAAAATGCTGTTCACAGGTGTTAGGACTCAGTTTTTCTTGATGGGACAGAGACTTTTTTCAGGTGCCCATTCCACCCTCGGCACATCTCAATGGATCGTTACCAAAGGGAGTGCCAAGATTGGTACAGAAAACCAGAGGTTTACACTTAGTGCCTGAACGGGAAGGATGGCAAGTTGCAAAATGCTTCAAGAACCCTGTTCTAAAGCTTTAAGTGTGTTCTGACACACCAAACTCAGGACAAGTTCTCAATGAGGCTTTCTGACATTTTAACCTAAAACTACATCAGGAAAATGCAACGTGTTTCCCCAAACCATTGTTTAAACATTGTAAAAGTGGCCTTCCAGTCACAGAATTGGGGTGATTCACTTGAAAGGTACTAACTGGTCTTGCAAAGGCTGATTTACTTTCTGTTTCTCTAAATGATGTCCCAGCTCTTGGGCACAGGTCAGCGAGCTGCACACGATGGTCACAGGGCAGGAGGCACATCAGGTGAGGGTGTGTGTTTTGCTGTGTGCTCTGTCCCTTTGCAGTCTGTGGGAATGTGGGTGGGTTTAAAAAAGAAATACTTTTCTCTGATCCTTTCATCATGGGATCCTTTTAAATAAAGGTGCACTGTTTTCTGAGGTTGGAGATTTGTGAAACCACCCAGTTACTGCTTGTCACTGAGATACTCGTGCAAAGCTGGGTCAAAATCGAGTCAGAGCCTAAAAAGAAGATTTTGTAACAATTTAGGCTTAGGCAGTCACTCAAGCTGGTGTTGGGATCTGTCTGAAGAACGTAAATTTGGAGTTTTGTTGCATCAGCCTCCTGTCCATGGAGAAGAAAAGCTCTAGCAGGTGAGTTATCCCAAAATCAGGTTCCCTTCAAATGTGCCTTCCTGGTTCTGCTGGGCCAGGCTGTCAATTTGGACCTCCCAACAGGATGGATGCAGCCTTGCAGGCAGTGCTGGGATATCAGTGGCAGTGACTGCAGGCACAGAATCCAGCAGGAGCAAGGGCTGAAGTGCCTGAAGTCAAGAAGAAGAGCTGAGGAAGGTTTCAGTGCAGTGACTCTGATGAAATCTTTGTTTGTGCTGTATGAAATGCAGGAGGGGGCAGCTGTGCTCGCAGTTTGTGGAGCTGGTCATCGTGTTTAATTAGAATGGTTAACATTAATTTTTTTAAAGGCCAGTGCTGTTTGTACAGTTTAATAAAATGTTGTGTATAATTGGGAAATGGGCATTGAAGTGATTTAATAGGTACAAAGAACAGTGATGCTTAGAAAGCTATTAAAATGGCTCTGTGATGTCTGGGGAACATTCTCCAGGGAATTTTGACCCGTAAATACACAGCAGCAGCAAGCACTTGAACAACTACTACTCCACAGGGCAATATCTAAACCAAGGATTTGCTGCTGTGCAAAGGTACCCAGGAAGAGAGTGAAATGTTCCTTTTTACTACCAGAAGCTGACACAGCTCTGAATGGGGTCTGGTATCACAGAGGGGTTGCAGAGGAGATGTGCAAAAGTTTTTATTAAAAGAGAGTGAATTAGGACATCTTCCTTTGACTCCCAAATGAGGGTCAGTCAAAGTCCTGTGAGGGCCTGAGTGTGTCCATGACTCTGATGGAGCCTGGCCAGCCTGGTCCAGACTAGAGACTGCATTTCTAAGCGTTTGAAGTCTGGCAGTGTCCCTGGAGGACTGCTAGGGACGTTCTCTCTGCTGCAGCACAGCAGTTTGGTCTTGACACCAATGCAGGGACAACCCAAGAGCATAGACTAAGGAAGGAGGGTGCTGGTTCACCTCTTGTGGTTAAGTCACTGAAGAGAAACAGGTTTTAACACCTCTCCGATCAGGAGGAGGGCTCTCTGCACTCCAGTGATGTTCCCCCCCTTGCACAGCCTCTAAAATATCTTAGGCTAGTTCAGAGGTAAGCAGGCTGTGGGGGGAAGAATATTAGGAGATGGCAAAGATTTCTAAAAGAGGCTCTTACCCCAATATATGTTGGTGCATCTCTCTATTCTGTGATGTCCATGTGGAGAGCGGGGCAAAAGAGGATGAACAGGGAATGTCAGGGGTCTGTACTGACTTTGGACGGGGTGGGCTTCTCTGGCTCTCTGCCAACCCCGTTGGGGCAGGACGGAGGGGTCCAGGGATATTTTGATTAGAGTTACAAGGTCTTGGGGAAGGGGAAATAGAGTGCCCATGAGCTCACTGTAACACTCCAGCTGTGGTCCCACAGAACCACAAGCACGACTTGTGAAGGAACTCGTTGAGTAACTGCTAGAGCAGGCTCAGCATTAGGATTAGTGTGAAGCTTTTGATGCCAACCACAAGAAGAAGCACTCGCTTCTCTCTGGCAGGCACCTTCAGCTTGAAAACCCAATAAACCCATTGAGGATGGGGGCAGGTGGGTAGGAGCCACCACAAACGTGCTGGCTGCGTGTCCCAGCTGTGCCTGTGGGGCGTGAAGGGTGACGTGGGAAGCAGCAAATGCTTTCCTGTGGTGACAGTGATTGAGAGATATCAGCCAGGGAGGGCTGAGAGCCAAACACCCACGCAGAAATGAGCAGGAGCCCAGGTACCCACAGAGATGCTCCTTTGTCTTAGCTGAACCTGGCATCTCCATTTCTGTTTTATTTCTCTTTCTTTCTCTCCCCTCCTCCATAAAATATTCATTTTATGGCAGAGTAGATGGGACTTGAGAGGTTTGGTTATTTGCTTGCTGAAGGCTCAGTCCTGTTCTGGAGCCCTGTGGGATCACAGCATTACTGCAGGACCATGGCAACAGCAAACATCAGGGTCTGACCTCCAGCACCACCTGCTTCAACTCAAGTTTTGGGAGTCCCCAACACCCAAGTGCTCCTTTCTGAGTCTTGCTGCCTCACCTGATGGATGTATGAATTCCTACTTGCTGGCATCCACCAAATCAGGATGAGTGGGAGTCACCTGTAAATGACAGCCTTGATTTCAGCACTCCTGCAAAGACTTCCAAGAGGAGGTGAGCTGGTCTCACAGCTCCTCAGCATTCAGAAGAGAAAACCAAGCTCTGTCCTGCACCCCACCATGCTCTTTGCAGCCTGTGCTGAAAAGAAAGATGACTTTGCCCAGTTGTTACAAGACACTCTTGCAGTTTAGAGGTGTCACCAAAAGTCCCTGTGTGACAACACAACTCCAAAGAGTGGGTCCTGGCAGTTGAAATGCTCCTCCCTTTGTAATTGCATTTGTACCTTAGACATGTAAACTCACATTAGAGATCCCAGCTGGGACCTTACCAGCTCCCTCACTCCAGGGATGCCACATTACCTGCAGCCACCAGATCATCTTGAGTGTGCGGCTCAAAGAGTGTCTTGTGGTGTGAAGCCAGCAGAGGTTTCAGTGCAGAACTTAGGAAGCTTTTCTACCTTCCTTATTTACACAGGAATTTTATCTCTGGTACCTCACAGCACAAGCAGAGCTGGTGAAATACAGGAAGTGTATTTTTAGCTCTTCTGTAAGTGGCTTGGGTGCAGCCCAGTGACTGTACCTGCTGTACTGGGGTCCATTCCGCTGTTGGTAACAGGAACTTTGGAGTCCTTTATCTTCTACATCATCTCAATGTTTATGTACACAAATAATTGAAAAATAGATGAGATGTGAAACAAAGGGAAAAAACAGCATCGAGTTGTGGAAGGTGAAGCGAGTGCAGAAAAGACAAGTAAGGAGGAAAAGAGGGATACAAGTTGGTGTAATGTTATGTAACACTTCCCTTCATCCATTGGTTTCAATTAGAGCTCTGCTGTTTTCCTTCAAAGCCATCAGTACCATCCTAGAGTTGCTTTTGTAGCCAAAGCACAGAACTTTTGGAGATTTTAGAGGATGGGACAGCCTGGGACCAGAATGGCTCTGATCTGGCTTCCCAGGTAGCACAGAGTTGCCATTCCTTCTCTGACATGTCCCCTAAAAATCCAAATAGTTTTGCTTTGAATATGGATTCAGGTCCCAGTTAAAGTATTTTAATTAGGCTGTCCATAGCAGAGGAATGCAGTTTAACTGCTTGCTTTAGTCAGGTAGCACCCCTGAGACACCTTGGGTTATCCTGGAGGACTTTTGCTAAATATGGGTCTGTCCTACAACCTGTGGCTTATCCCACAGCCTTGTTTCCCCCAGATACCCCCAACAGCCACAGACACCTCTCTGTAAGCAGTGGAATCAGGCCTAGAGTTCACCCTCCAGCAGGTACCTGCATTCAACCAGTCAAGTCTTCCAAGAAGAAACATCAAAAATGAGTTATCAACATGTTTTCTGCATTTGCTAAAGAAACTGCAAGAAGGAAATCCTCCATCCTCCTGGTACATGCTCATTCAGGGAGACCAGAGGGGACTGCATTCCCATGTTCAGTGGCAAGCATATTCCCCTCTCCCATGAGAGAGACACCAAGATCAGCAATTATGGTGTCTTTGCTCTTGAAGGGGAGCACTTTTAAGCTAAAAGAAGGTAGGTTTAGATCAGATGTTAAGTTGGGGTTTTTTGGGGTTTTTTTGTTTGGTTTTTTTTGTACTCAGACAATAGTGAGCTCCTGGCACAGGGTGCCCAGAGCAGCTGTGGCTGCCCCTGGATCCCTGGAAGTGTCCAAGGCCAGGTTGGATGGGGCTTGGAGCAACCTGGGATAGTGGAAGGCGTCCTTGCCCATGGCAGAGGGTGG